TTTCCCTTGTTACAATGTGTGCTATGTGCTTATCTTTAGCAAATACCCTAGTCTTTTATACCTTGGGTGGCCTATATTGCCTTGGTATTATTATGAGATAGTTTCTTGATTAATACTCTGCAAATAGATTTCAGGTGCAAGTCCAGCCCCGGTGCCTGTCCCTGATACTCCACAGGGCTTTTTTTTAAGGCTCTTGGGCCTGAAGATTGAGGTAACTGGGACCACCTGTATTCAGAAAGACTTTTCTACCCGATGGGTTAATCTGTGCACATGGCACCTGGTTTCTACAAGTAAAATCCTTGTGTTGCAAAGAGATTTATGTTATTGATCTTTCCTTGAATTTTGGGGACTTAAGTACTATTGGGGATGAGTGAGTGCTGTTCACCCTTCCATACTATCCACTTTGTTTCCGTCCCCTCCAAAAGGTAAAAAAATAGAAGAGAAAAAGCAGCAACAACCTAGATTTATAATGTGAGCATAGGTTTACTTTTCAGAGTAAAATTCTAAGATTTTCATTTTAATGCTTTACTGTGTGTGAAATTATCTTCTTTTTATTATATTTGAGATTGCCAGAATTATCTATCAACAAGCATGTTCCAAGAGAGTCTTTTTCAAAGTGCTAGGCTGGGTGTGCAGTGTGAGCGATGGGTACATAGGATTTCTTCTGATGTTAGACTACATACATTCCTTAGAATAAGGATTGATACAGAGAAAGCAGACTACCTTTGTTAGACCAGTAGTATTTGCTGCTTTGTGCATGAATTCTACCTGGGAAATCTGACCGAACTCAGGCTGTTACTTAAAATGTTGTATAAATCTGATGATTATTAAAAACCATCTTTATGTTCATCTCTGTATTTTTTCCTTTGAAGTTAGTAGTTGACCAAAGATATTTCAGGGGATTAACCTGTTTTACCTGGGTAAGTCACTAGATAGTTTCAAATGTGTTAGGGAGCTCACCTTGAGGTCAATTGAGCTGCGTATGTATTTCTCATACCCTCCCTCTTCCTTGTGGACAGCAAAAGTTGCCCATGGCTGGAGCTGGACTCTGATACCCTGTGGAGTTTAATCCCATTATGTTGGAGTATGAAGGGACTTTTAAAAATAACTAAGTGCCACTCCCATGGTTGTCAACGGGCACTGAGGCTGGACGGGCGAGTGAGGTGGCCCACAGAGGTCAGACCGCCGTAGCCCGGTCCTGAGAATTGTGCCTGGGACTCAGGCTTCTTGCATGCATTCGATGACCTTCTCATCGAGCTGGGTCGTGCGCTCCGCCAGTGTTTGAAAAGCAGAATCGGTCCCCTGGTTCGCAGGAAGCTTCGGGTCCGCCCTCTCATTCCTGTCATGCCCCCACAGGCCAACTTGCCCCTGCTGCAGCGCGAGCTCCTGCACTGCGCAAGGCTGGCCAAACAGAACCCTGCCCAGTACCTCGCCCAGCATGAACAGCTGCTTCTGGATGCCAGCACCACCTCACCTGTTGACTCCTCAGAGCTGCTTCTCGATGTGAACGAAAACGGGAAGAGGCGAACTCCAGACAGGTGAGAGGGAGGAGGGCCCTGGACTGCCCGTGGCCTTTTCCTCCCATCTGTGCTTCGAAGACCTGTTTCATGTCCCGTCCGGACTGCTGGGCGTGCCACCCCTCCGGCGAACGAGCGGTGAGCTCGAGTGGCCGTCCGTATGCGCGCGCTGGCCTGGGATCTCTGGCCTGTGTCCGTCAGGCTGTTGTGCAGGTTCGTCTTGGCCCCCTGTAACAGTAGAGCCGAAGGTCATGAATGATACTCAGACGGGCTAAGTGCCGCTGGTGGTTCTTAGAAACACAGTCAAGATGAAAATTCTCATTTATTACATAATTCAACCCAGCCACGTATTTTGCCCTTCCCATGTGAGGAAATTTGCCCTTCCGAGTTTTCTCGGAACGTGAGGGTTTTGAAAGCGGGCCTTTGTGGGTTGCTCAGTAAACACAATTCAGTAGCTATTGAATTGGGGTTTAGGGGAGTTAAGAGAAAACTTCTGGGAAGTTAGATGAGATGAGTGAAGATTAGCATTAAGAGAACTAATGGCATTTTTGTTGAACAGTTTATCAGGCAATATTCATTCCATCAGGCACACTGCTCTCATAACTGAGAATTCTGAGAAATGTAAAATAAAGCCCCTTCTCCATTCAACCCTACAAAGTAGTTGTTGAATAAGCCGTATTCGCGAAATTCCCCATGCACCTATTAAAATGATTTTCTCGAGTACCTCATCCTCATTTACAAATATTTTCTAATATAGGAATTTGAAGTCTTATTAGCAGCATCTTGCATCATATTTGTAAAAATATGGGGGCGCCTGGGTGGCTCAGTTGGTTAGGCGACTGCCTTCGGCTCAGGTCGTGATCCTGGAGTCCCTGGATCGAGTCCCGCATCGGGCTCCCTGCTCGGCAGGGAGCCTCCTTCTGCCTCTGACCCTCCCCCCTCTCATTTGCTCTCTCTCATTCTCTCTGTCTCAAATAAATAAAATCTTTAAAAAAAAAATGTTTATATTTGTAAAAATATGGAACTGTATTGAAATGAAACCGTGTTCAGAAACGTATTTGTCATATGCTTTGTTTCCTTTCTCTCCTTATCCACTTTCTGTCTGCATTTCATCAGGCATGAGTGAAACAGCCTTTGAGAGGTTAACATTCTGGCACAATTATGTTCCAGATTCATAGGAGCTTTTGATCTTGGAGCTACTCAGAGACATCTATCTGTGACCGACTTAGCTACCCTTAAATGTATTAGCTGCTTTGCAAATCAGAATGTTATTAAAAGCCAGCCAGTTTACATACAGTTATTACATAATCCTCTGTTAAGCAGTTTTTATGCTACAGTCTCTGGAATTTTTCTCCTCTTGACATAGGACCTTTTGGTAGTTTAAAATCCGAAAGCAAAAGGTTAAACATTATTTTACTTCTGACAAGCTGTAGGCCCACCTCCAAACATGATCTGCCAACGAAAAACTGCTTTCTCGTTTTTGCAAGCCATTTTTCCTTAGTCATATTTAAGCATTTAGCACTTCAGCTTTGAAAGTCAGCTGCTTAATCCAGGTGTCTGAGTGGCGTGTCCACATGATACTGAAAACCAAGAAGTGGCCAGGGATAGATGATTCACGTGTGCCTTCCTGTCAGATGCTAACCCCTGTACCCTGCAGGAAATCCGTACTGTGTGCCTGTATGGAGATGTTGCAGCGCCATTTTTTAAGGATAATGTCAAAGGATTAGGGAGAGACTGGACGGACAGTTGCGAAGAAAACATTTATTTGGGCGGACGCTAGGGTACCAGGGAAAGCTTTGGATAGCTGTGATAATCCTATAGGCAAAATTGGAAGTGTTCTAGAAACCCCAACTGCTAAGTGACAGACCAAACTGTTTCATTCCCTTCTCTATATCGCAGCCATTTCCCCACTGATTTTCTTTCCCAGTGTTTTATATTTGAAGGTGTTGTGCCTGTAGGCTTTGCTTGGATGATGCTGAGGTGAGCCTTGAGCAGCATGCTAACACGGATATGGAAACCTCCTGTAAATTCCACAGATAATCAGCATTTTTGTTTTGGTGATCTGTAGCTGCGTTGTGCATGCACATTTGCATTTGATCAGGTAGAACTTTCTTAAAAGAGTCTCCGATCTTGTTCTCCCTTCGATTATTCATAGGCAATTGCTGGAGTTCAGAATTCACACAGTTGCTCTTTGACTGGAACATTGTTTTTCTAGTGGAACCCTGAAGTGTGTGTTTTAATGGAAGGATGGCAAATGGATTTCCTTAGAGTTAGGAGGACGGGTAATGAGAATATGTTGTGTAAATACATTTGTATCTTGTGGGAATATGATCAGAGCCAAGAAAATATGGGTCTCTACAGTATTTTTTTGCATATATTTTCTGCATCTTGTTTGCATATGCATTTTCCTCTCCTCTGGTTATTTATCTGTATATCCAGATCTACTATATGAAATTTTATAGAGTATGGAGCTGACAGCAGAGCTTTTTTTGTTTTACTGAATGTTTTGTTGGTGCATATGGTCTGACATGGATGAGCAGCCACGGTGAGATTTTGGAGTCTATTAAACTGGCTCATTAAAAAGATCAATCTGTTTCTGTAATAACACTGGGAACCATCAGTCACTAAAAGAGGGAAAAACTGACACCTGAGGAGAAAACACATTTTGGTAATTTGTTCATGACATGTCACGAACAAAAGAGCGCTCTATATTTTGTTTACAACTTTGGGGGCTTAAATTCTGTGACGATTGCAGATTTAATCTACTAAACAATCATCATGTGTTTCAGGGATGGGTTGTGGCAAATTTAACTTTCTTTCATCCTTAAATATGATTGCCACTGGTTATGTTTCTTCTTTTTTTAAACATTATTGTTATTTACAGAGAAATGAAGACTCTGAGGGAAATCTATGAAATCATTTTTTTTTTCCTGTAAGAAACAGTGAAATTTATTCTACTCTCTTTTTAAAATATCTCTAGGGTGAGCTTCTGAACAACTATACTAAATTTGTAGGTCTGTGGTAGAATACTGTGGAACCCAATTTAGAAAAAGACAATTTTCATTTTAAAATCATGCTAGTTTTTCCTAAAATACTAAGGAAAGTAAATAGAAAATTCTGATTTCTACTCTTTGTTAATATTTAAGAGTTGATTGGTTATAGTAGACCTTGGTTTTGTCATTCTGTGTTGGGAGAAGCTGACAAAGGGGATAGGAACCTTCCTGGCGCTGATTCAATGAAGTGACTGCTTTCAAAGATAAGACTAGAAGCTAAGAGCGCTCTCTAAAACTTCTCGCCATGACAGTCATGAAGACACTCACACTTTCACACGGAGTTGAGGAGAGAGAGCAATTAGAGAAGGCTGCATTCTTTTGAGACAACAAAATGCATAAAAATTATTAAGGTGAAAACACTTGTGTTAATTATCATTGCTGTCTGTCTTTTCTCACAGCTTTGATCCTGCAGCTTTTTTTTATAATTCATCTTTAATATTACGTTTCCATCTGTTAATGCTCATTTTCTGACTCAGAATCTTTCTCGTTTAAGAAATCAAGCTCAATGATCTTTGGGTTTGTATGGGTAACACTGTTTCTACCTCTATCCCTTACTATTTCAAATGATCGATGTTAAGTATTAATCCTCTTCTTATATATCATCATTTTAATAGAACTATGCTTTAAATCGTTCTCAGCTTAACACATCTAGACTTTATTATGTAGGCCACACGGTTGCATTAATATGTATTTTCTCCTCCCTCAATAATTAAATATTACTCTCTAAAAAGACTTGCTTGACCTTTAGAATTCTGTAGCTCGTCAGCTGGGAGGGATCTTATGGATCTACCAGGCCAACCCTTTCTCTTTACGCTTGAGGAAATGATGGCCCAAAGAACTTGCTTAAAGTCATGAAGCTTCTTAGGGGCAAAACCAGCCTATTTACAGACCTGGAATCTTGCACAAAATATGTTTTAATGTGCAGTTTAAATAAGGAAAGCTCAACTAGGAACTAGGATTTTTTCCCCCATTACTTTCCCTCATTTATTTCTGCTGAGTAATTGCTCAATTGGGTAAATGCGATGGTATAATATTCTGGGGGTTTATAAATCTTTTTTAATGACAGAGGATCCACAGTCAGCCAGGTCTCCTGGCTTAATGAGTAAGTTAAAGAATGTTGAGGGTGGAGGGTCAGAAGGTAGTCATTTTTTTTTTTTTATTCTTATGTTAATCCCCATACATTACATCATTAGTTTTAGATGAAGTGTTCCATGATTCATTGTTTGTGCACAACACCCAGTGCTCCATGCAGAATGTGCCCTCCTCAATGCCCACCACCAGGCTAACCCATCCTCCCACCCCCCTCCCCTCTAGAGCCCTGTTTGTTTTTCAGAGTCCATCGTCTCTCATGGTTCGTCTACCCCTCCGATTTCCCCCGCTTCATTCTTCCCCTCCCGCTACCTTCTTCTTCTTCTTCTTTTTTTTTTTTCTTAACATATATTGCATTATTTGTTTCAGAGGTACAGATCTGAGATTCAACAGTCTTGCACAATTCACAGCACTTACCAGAGCACATACCCTCCCCAGTGTCTATCACCCAGTCACCCCATCCCTCCCACCCCACCCCCCACTCCAACAACCCTCAGTTTGATTCCTGCGATTAAGAATTCCTCATATCAGTGAGATCATATGATACATGTCTTTCTCTTTTTGACTTATTTCACTCAACATAATACCCTCCAGTTCCATCCACGTCGTTGCAAATGGCAAGATCTCATTCCTTTTGATGGCTGCATAATATTCCATTGTATATATATACCACATCAGAAGGTAGTCATTTTGAAACTGTGTTGGTTGAATATGTAAGATTTGTCATCGCAGCTGAACCAGCTAGGCCCATTTTTCCATTTCTGTAACATAAATGGGATTTCAATATTTTTGTGTTTCTAAAAAGAAAAGGTAGGTGCACTTTACGATGAATTGGAGGATTAATTGGCTATGCCAATCAGAATTAAATTTGTATTGTTA